CTTATATCTTTTATAGATTTTTTTTTAGAGACTAACAAAAAAAAAAAGAATCTAATTAATCAAATTACAGTTTAATTTTTTACATTAAAAAAAAATTTTATTTATTTATTATTTATAATTTTTTTTTTATATTTTTTTTATATTGTTCATTTTTTAAGGGTAAACAGTGCGAGATATTCATAATTGATCTACATTTCGGTACATTGCAGACTGTGCACTTACGTGATATATTATTTCATATACGATACATATTATTATTATTATTATTATTATTAATCTATTTATATAAAGACAAAAAAGAACGATAGCTTTTTTCATTTTCACTTCAAATTAATTTACGTCATATATCATATTTCATATATTTCATGATTCTTGTTTTCGGAAACAAAAAAAAAAGGAATCTTTTTTTTTTTAATTGATTAATTAACCAAAATTTATTTTATTATAAAAAAAAATTTTGTCTTAATTTGTCTTTCTTTTTTCCAAAACAAAGAAATAAAATAAAGATAAAAAAAATAACATGGGATGATATCCGATTTCCCGTATGCTTACTATCAGTGCATGCATTGACCCGATAGTTCCGAATTCCGATATCCCGATGTAACCTCATTATATGTAATAAATTTAAATTATAATGAAACTTGAACCTTTTTTAAGTAAATTTTTTATTATAAAACCCATACCGTTCATATAAGTTAACATACGTAATTTAAATAAATTATTATTATCCTATTAAAAAAAAAAAAAAGATATAAAAAAAAAGTTTCTTTTTTCTTGTTTTAAATTTTGTTTTGATTTATAATCAAAAGGAAAAAAAAAAATAATTTCAAAAAAGATGATTTTTAATAAAAAGATTTCCTTATTGATGATTAATTTGAACGATCATCGTGCTTTTTTTTTAACTGTATAACAGATAATGATTATTCTTAATTTAGCAGACAAGATCGATAAAGTACATTCAAGCACATTCAGCACATTTGGAGTACATATTACATATTAGAAAGTAAAAGAGTATTTATCGTTTTATTACATTCTTTATATATGTTAATAATAACTTTTATAAAGAAATAATGAAATGATTTTTTTTTAACAAATAAAATCATTGAATGAAAATAAAAACAACGAATAATGAAAGTAAACATTGAATATGATCTTCTATTCTTCTCGGAATACGTAAATCATGTGCACATGACACATTCTCAATGCACACCACATTAAATAGTTAAACTTTTTTGGGAATGAATGATATCATAAGCATGGATCCATATTTCTAGCATTTACTCAAAACGTTTTATTTTATTTATAATACATTTTTTTTTAAATTTATGATAAATTATATTATCCGTTATTATTAATTTTATATTAACAATTTCTTTCTTTCTTTTTATTTCCATTTTTCATTTTTTTAAAACAATTTTTTATTTTTATGTATTTTATATTTTCGTCATTTCGTCATATTGTGTTTTTTGAATAATAATAGATAGATAGATATACAGTACATTACCTATTACTGTAATTGTAACTAAACCATCTTTTATTGTAAAGATATGGGTATAATTTCAATCATTAAATCATTTACACATTTTTAACTATTGATAAAGTATGCATTTAATTGTTAAACATTTTATTCAGGGTTATCAAATGTTAATTAATGCGAAAATACGTGTGTATACAGTAAAAAAATGTTATGCGAGTTTGTTTAGGCTCATAAAAGGTACATGCATTAAAAAAAATTATAACACATGAAACTAATAAACCTTTTTTTTTATAAATATTTTTTGGTTTTAACTTTAATTTTATTGTTATAATAATTAATAATACAAATCTAATAAAACAAATATTCATAATAGCTATAATATTTTGTAATATAAACTATATAAACTGCAATTTTTTAAGGTATAATTAATCTTTATATTAATATAACTATCAAATTTAATTTATTTCTAATTTAAATACTTCAAAAAGAATTCTTAAAAAATATATAAAATATCTTAATACTTATTCTGAATTTTCTTTTCATTTTCATTAAACAAGCTATCATTTATTTCTTTAATTAGATTTTTTTGAAAATAATATGCTTAGATAATAAATTATATTATAAGTATTTATTTTTTGCATGATGAATAAGTTTTAATTATATTGATTTTAAATGTTTTATATTAATTTTCCTTCTTTTATTTTTTATAATATATGGAATTCTGAACATTTGGATTTATTTTAGACTTTAAATTGCAAAGTAATAAATAAGAATTATTTTAATTAAATAATAATAATCTTGCTTTACCAATTATTTATAATATAATTGAAAATTATCTTTTTATTAACTAGATAACGGGATCTATTGTAATGTCTGAAGCACTCATTTAAAATCATACCGTCAGACGGCTCAGGCACGTCACCAAAAATCTAATCACGTAATAATAATCAATAATACATCTTATTGGTTAATCATGCGTATG